TTCCACTGCAGCCTTGTAGTTGTGCAGGAATGAGACGTCTTCAGCTCTCAGCTCCTCCTCTGTGGCTCTGACTGTGTCTGAAAGAGCTGCTATCTCTCTGCTCAGAGCCTCCATCTTGTCCTTCATCATGCCACTCTTCTGCTCCTCTTCCTCCCTCAGTGCAGCCAGCCTGGCCTCCTCTTCCTCTGTTAGAAACTGGTGAAGCTTTGAATCTCTGCAGACGAGACAAACTGGTTCCTGATGGTCCAGACAGAAGAGTCTGAGTTTCTCAGAGTGCAGACTGCAGAGAGCCTCTGAAGAGCTCTGATGTTTCTCCTGTAAAACCAGGTTGGGTGGGTCCATCTTTGAGGATCTTCTCTTACAAACAGGACACTCCTGTGCTGATTTCTGTCTCCACCAGTTCTTCACACAGACTTTACAGAAGCTGTGGCTACATGACAGGACAACAGGATCTCTGAAGACCTCCTGACAGACCGGACAGCAGAGATCCTCCTCTGATCTGGAAGCCATTTAGACTCTGAGTGAAGCTGAAAACACAGCAGACAGAAAGTCCAGTCAGTCCTGGCTCCRCTCCCTCCTCTAACGTCCTTCAAAGCGTCTCTGAGAGTTTTTGCTGCGACTCACCTTCAGTGTGTGGAGTGTGAGCAGCTTCAAGCAGCAGCTGGACTCAGTCAGTCTGATCTGAAGCTCCGGATCAACCTCCTCCTGTAGGCTCCAAAGGTCATTTCCTGGTTAGAGCGAGACACAAGGAGGGTTTGCCACACCCTGGCTGTGTCCAAAACGGGCCGGATCCGGTCCTTAGGAGGGTCACCTGGCCTCCTTGGTCGTGGGCCCGGTCCTAGGTAGACCGCAACGACCGGTAAAAAGTGTCTGTTGTTGATTTGGACCMTCTAACCCCCCATTCTTACCCTGCCATGACGACGCTAAACAGAAGCTAAATTAGACCGAAAGTAGAAACATATCAATATTTTAGCGTTATTAATATCACAAAACAATAAAATTAACTTAAGGGAAATATTTGAAGAACTAAATGGCCCCCCGTACTAGGTGCATGCTTATTTCYCTGTATTAGTTCGTTTTCTTTCTGACAAAAATATTTAAAAACATGTCTGTACAAATGATAAAAGTATTAACAACACAACCGCTTGAAATGTTTAATTTTTATTAGTGATGGGCAGTTTGAAGCTGAAGCTTCGGCGCATGTATTGGAAAAAACAACACACTGTTTCAGAAGCACTGTGTCGGAGCTTGATTCGTTTGGTAAAAATCAAAGAGTCCTTTTTTTTCATGTGATCAGTGACATCCGAAGCTTCGAATGTGGTGAACTTACGTCACTGCTTACCTGATTCAAAGGTTAATGAGGAAGTAAATCATTGGCTGGATTCGTGGTGTGTTTTGATGGCAAATGTGCAAATTATAACAAACCAGTGAAGGACTTATTGTGAGACAGAAGCAAACAAACGTATGTGTTTAGTTTGTCGTGCAGTTTATAAGCCTGGGCCAGATAGAATGGGGATCACAAACCCACAAAGAACCTTTGCTGTGAGTGCACGTGTGTGCACGCACGCACACACACACAGGGACCACACAGAACTGCGTGCAGCTTGGTTCATCATTAAAAAGAAAGCAATAGTAGCGCGAGACACACCCCAGAGCAGAGTTTCACTTGTTGCACAGGTGATGATTTTCATAAAAACACAAATGGTGACGATGTCCTGTCCTCAGGAGGAAAGGTGGCACGAAGC